ATGGAATCGCATGATTCAGTTCATTTCACAACTGCCTCACTTAGCAACAGAAATTTTGGGCACAGTTGTCGTCATAAGCTGAGGATTACAAGTAATCTCCATGGAGAGACACTTCTGGGGCCTGCTTGTTTTCTTTGTCTTGTTAAATGGCTGGCCAACATAACACACTTTTTTGTGCTCACAATTTTTCTTCTTAAGACTTGCAGTCTTCAACTCCCAGAATTCCCCAGGTAAAGGTTCCCCTCGTACATATGTGCTAGTCGTTCCCGGCTCTAGGGGGCGGTGCTCATCTTCATTTCGAAGCCGAAGAGCCAGCGCTGTCCGAAGACGTCTCCGTGGTCATGTGGCCGGCATGACTCAACGCCAAAGGCGCATGGAACTCTGTTACCTTCCCACCAAAGGTGGTTCCTATTTTCCTACTTGCATTTTTACGTGCTTTTGAGCTGCTAGATTGGCAGAAGCTGGGACAAGTAACGGGAGCTCACTCCGTTACACGGCGCTAGGGATTCGAACCGCTAAGCTGCCGACCTTCTGATCGACAAGCTCAGCGCCTTAGCCACTGAGCCACCGCATCCCAAGGTTGGAGATTGCTAAATAGAAGATTGCTTCACGTCCTACCACAGGAGAAGGAAATATTTTTTTGGCCTAATAGAACATCAGAAGAACAGAACTCAAATTATTTATCATCATTTATTCTGTTTGTAATGCAATCCTTTGTAAAAACCCTCTTGAGAGGTTTGTGGGGAGATGTTCTGTTTTCCGTTGATCCTAACCATAAGCAGGATAGGGTGGAACTGAACCGGAATTGGCAATGAGGAAAGGGAAGGAAATACAATTCTTGACTCCATCTGGTTTTTGTTCTGGGAATATTATTATTTTTAAACATATAACCACACATGCAAACTGCCATTTCTTTTCACAAGGAAGGAAACATATAAAAAAATAACTTGGGAAAGAAGATTTAGAAATAGAATAGAATTCTTTATTGGCCAAGTGTGATCGGACACACAAGGAATTTGTCTTTGGTGCCTAGGCTCTCAGTGTACATAAAATAAAAGATACATTCGTCAAGAATCATACAGTGCAACACCTAATGATAGTCATGGGGTACAAATAAGCAATAAGATCATACTAGGAAACGAATAAATATAAATCATAGGGATGCAAGCAACAAAATTACAGTCATGCAGTCATAAGTGGGAGGAGATGGGCGATAGGAACAATGAGAAGATTAATAGCAATAGTAATGCAGACTTAGTTAATAGTTTGACAGTGTTGTGGGAATTAGTTGTTAAGCAGAGTGATGGCATTCAGGGGAAAAACTCTCCTTGTGTCTAGTTGTTCTGGTGTGCAGTTGAAACAATTTATGTCCAGGATGTGAGGGATCTGTAGATATTTTCACAGCCCTCTTTTTTACTCGTGCAGTGAACAGGTCCTCAATGGAAGGCAGGTTGGTAGCCATTGTGTTTTCATGCAGTTCTAATCATCCTCTGAAGTCTGTGTCTGTCTTGTTGGGTTGCAGAACCAAACCAGACAGTTATAGAGGTGCAGAAAAATAAAAATAAAAGTTATTCATCCAGAATTGCTGCATATTTTAGGACAGTGTTTCACAAATCTGGCAACTTTTACGATGTGTAGCCTTCAGTTCTCAGAATCCCTCAGCCAGTCTACTAATCTGGCCTAGATAGCAATAGCACTTACACTTATATACTGCTTCACAGTGCTTTTACAGCCCTCTTTAAGCGGTGTACAGAGTCAGCCAATTGCCACCAACAATCTGGGTCCTCATTTTACCCACCTCGGAAGGATGGAAGGCTCAGTCAACCTTGAGCCTGGTGAGATTCGAACTGCCAAATTGCAGGCAGCCGGCGATAATTCAGTCGCCTTTTTGGAATATACTGTATATATTAGAAGAAAAATTCAGTCCAACAGTCAAGGGATGTAACTGTAATACCTACGGAATAATTGCTCTGCTTTTAATGTTTTTTATGGAAAAGCTGTGTTAGATAGAGGCAAGTGAAATATTGCTAAATTCATGTTAGGTTTATGGTGCATGGTTCTGCTAATCTATACAGGTTGTCTTCCACTTACAATAGCTCATTTAGTGACTGCTCAAAGTTACAACGGCATCGAAAGGTTCTGACAGGTTATGGAGAACCGGTAGCAGAAATTTTGAGTAGTTCAGAGAATGCAAATGCCACCTCTGGCTGGCCCGAGAGTGGGGTGGGAATGGAGATTTTGCAATATCCTTCCCCTGGAGTGGAGAGAGAATGGAGATTTTGCAGTATCCTTTGTCACGCCCACCAAGCCACACCATGCCCACCAAGCCACGCCCACAGAACCAGTAGTTAAAAAATTGAATTTCACCACTGCCCTACATGGTTTTGGTTCCACCACAAAACCGCGCTCGACTAAACCGTGTCCGACTAAACTGCGTCGCTGATGTCATCAAAAGGGTGACAACAGCGCGGAGACAGAAGCACGCTGTAAACCCTAAACCTAAAATTAACCCCTAAACCTAACCCCCCTAAACCTAACCCTAACCCTAATCCTAACCCTTAACCTAAACCTAAACCTAAACCTAAACCTTACCTTAAGTTGAATCGGCTTGCTTTCAAAGCGCTATTTAAAGCGCCCTTCTTTCTCCGCGCTGGCTGTTGTCGCTCTGTTAATGACATCAGCGACGCGGTTTAATCGGGCGCGGTTTTGACGGGTCACGCATGGTTTTATGTATGTAAACATATTTTTTACCATCCTTGGAAGGATGAGTCAACCTTGAGCCAGTCAGGATCGAACTGCTGGCAGTCGGCAGATTTAGCCTGCAATACTGCATTCTAACCACTGTGCCACCATGGCTTCTTTTTCTCTTGGCACATCTCAGCTATTAACACCTCCTGGAACCTGGTCTTTTTAATGGATCAATTTTATTCTGAAATGCCGCTTTATAACTAGTGTCAATTGCTTTGGGATTCTTTGCAAGGAGCAATAGTATCTCAATACTTTGCGCAGAGAAATCAGAGTCGCGTGTGACAATTTCTGGCAACCTTCCTGGAGGTGAGTCAGTGGTGGCCAATTAACCAATTCATTTCCGGCAGGAACCTTTGGAAGACATTTCTGTTATTCTCTTTCCAGACTGCAGACTCCTTTGGGATTACGTCTATCAGTTGCTCTCCGACAGCCGGTACGAAAATTTCATCCGATGGGAGGACAGAGATTCCAAAATATTTCGGATAGTGGACCCAAATGGGCTGGCCCGGCTATGGGGAAACCATAAGGTAGGAAGAACCCAGCATGATGGTTGTTTATCTTGCATAGATTGTGAATTAATTGATTGGGGAGGAGTGGAGAAAGAATAAAAACGACTCTGCTAAAAGAAACAGAAAGGAGTTAGATGTAGACCAAAAGAGAAATTATGCAATCTTCTATAAATCCTCATGATATTTGTTTGTTTGTAAAAAAAAAATGGTATTGGCTGCCCACCTTACCACAGGTAAGACATAAATAAAACGCTATGAAGATCCAAATTCTGTGGCCTGGTTAAAAGATGGGGAGGGCAGGAGTGGGTTGAGTAAGAGGTGGGATATGTTGTTCATCTACCCATCACTCCTAATGTGATGAAGGGGGTGGCAGATGTTCCAAAGAGCTGGCACAACAGTAGAGAAGGCCGCTCTCCTGGGCCCTGCCAACCAGAACACCCTGGCCAACACGGCCCACAGTAGGCCTTCTCTGCTGGGATGGGTAGGGCGGGTTGGTGGATGGATGGATGGATAGACAGATAGATACATATGATCAGATATGATATCACATGATAGATATGATGAGATAGATAGATAGATAGATAGATAGATAGGGATGGATGGATGGATGGATGGATAGACAGATAGATACATATGATCAGATATGATATCACATGATAGATATGATGAGATAGATAGATAGATAGATAGATAGATAGGGATGGATGGATGGATGGATGGATAGACAGATAGATACATATGATCAGATATGATATCACATGATAGATATGATGAGATAGATAGATAGATAGATAGATAGATAGGGATGGATGGATGGATGGATAGACAGATAGATACATATGATCAGATATGATATCACATGATAGATATGATGAGATAGATAGATAGATAGATATGGATGGATGGATGGATGGATGGATAGGGATAGATAGAGAGAGAGAGAGAGAGAGAGAGAGAGAGAGA